AGAATCATTTATTTCTGATCATAATCATGCTATCTCTTCTCCAAGTTGGTGCACCCGATTGGAAAGTTTCTCATTTTCTTTTTTGGATTTATTAAGGTCATCCTGTATGCACTTATTTTCTTTTTTTGATCGATTTAAAGAATTCTGCATATACTTATTTTCTCTATCTAAGACATCATATTTATCTGCAAACTGACTCTCCCAATATATAGCAACTTCACGATCTTTTTTCGCACAAGAAAGTTGTTCTTCAAGCTCTGTTCGGCTGGGAGAGTATTGATTAGCTAGAGAATTTCCAAGTTTATTATCATTATCCAGATCTTTTAAGGTATGGATCTGGGATATTTTATTAGTATTTTTTTTTTCCTTCAAAAAAAAAATCTCAAGTTTTTGGACTTGAAAGTGAGATATTTTAGATGAAAAGCATTAAACTATCTATTAATGCCTATTGATACACATTGGTGAGTATTAAAATATATTGATATTTATTGAAGGGTATTAATATGTATTGATGTATACTGAAAAATATTGATATATATTGGAGAGTATCGACTTATATTGAAGAGCATTGATATATATATTGATACATATCAATATTTATTGAAAAAACATTATTTTTTTTTTCTAGTATATAAAATCTAGTAAAGATGGTCGCCCGTCTCCATGATACATTTTATGATGCTAAGGCAACCTTGTTATCAGAAGCCGATATTAAAGAAATTAGAAAATCAAGAGGTAGGATACCCAATGCATCAAAAATAATAGCTAAAAATTTTCATATTGGCCCTAAACGTATTTATGAAATATGGGACTATAAAGAACACCTTCAGCAAGGTGTTATTTCATCTCAGTCTGTTTTGGAGAAAAATTTCCAAAGTTATAAAAAGAAACAGATTCCTGAAGCGGTACCAGAAGAAGTATCTACACCCCTTCTATCTACAGAGATTCCAAAAAAGAATGGTCGAAAAGAGAAGATTAAAATAGATGAGAAGCTGATTACTGAAGCAACCAGTATGGTGAAAAAAAATAACAAAAATAATATGGCCTCTTTCTCTGACAATTCGTCTAATACATCCAAAAAAGATAGGTTGGAATCTCTTCTTGAAAACTTAGTCAAATGTGGTGAAAAGCTTAAAAGCTTAACAGTTGATACTTCTGATATCTCTTCTATATAAGGATTTACATGTGTTAGCAAAAAACTTTTCAGTACTTAAGGCCAAATAGAGCCATTTCTCAAGCTTTGTACAGTTTACACATTTTTTTTAAGTCCTTCTCACCACTTGAATTAGAAGAATCGGTAGATACTTGGGCTGAATCATGTGAACCCTCTAGGACCTGCTCCTCTTTTGGCAAAACCTTAGCTTCTAGGCCTTGCTAAATGTTGGGATAGTGTAAGTCTTTCCATGTAACTTCATTCAGAATTGATTTTTATTCGGATCAAGAATATCTTGAACTTTTCGAATCCATGTCATATCTAAACATAATATTGGTTCGGGTTCACCATTATTAATATAAGCAAAATTTCCAGTAGCTGTAACAATCTTACCATCCTTGTTCTTTATACTAATTGGCATATCTGTATACCATCCCAATGATTTGGATATATATTTGGAATTACTCTTTATAGCAAAGTCAGAAGGTTTATCAGCTTTCCACCCCAGGGCATTAATTGTTGCATCATTCACTCCCCTGAATTCACTCGCGCTATCTAAAAAAGAATTAGTGATCAATAGATCATTTATATTACAATGCAAGTATTGCAATGATAAAAACCACTCATCTAATTTTGATTCTTTCTCCTAAACTATATGAGACTAACATATTTTACGCATTGCCGGTGAAAGTTTTGGCAACAGCTTATCATACGTTTCGGGCTGGCTGTATTCTGCTAGTATCTGTTTTTTTTTTCTAGTAGATAATACCTGGTCCATTTATTATTTTCTTCATCATAACCACCATTATTATCTTCCTCATTATCTGAAGCTGGAGATATATATTGGGACTGTGTAGATGGAAGTTGGAGATAGTAACGTGTAAAATTTGATTTAGCTACAGGTTTTTTAGATTGATTATCGAGCATCATCCTCCCAAATTGAGATGTCATTTGACCGATTTCATCTATTTTCGATTCTATTCTATCTATTCTCATAGATTGGTTTTGTTGAGAGCGAGGTCTTTGAAAAGATTTTATAGGATAATCTGAATCTAATTCATTCTTAGTTATTAAACCCATTTTATTTAAGAATTTAGATATATAATAATTCTGGAGATCTTCTACCAATTGCAATGATGGTAGAGGACCTCTTGGCTGTCTAACTAGTTCGATAGTTTGTGAAGCTGGTGTCTGTGCTTTTTGGGCAACTGTTTGCTGGGCTATTTGTGCTTGAAAATCGGCTTTCTGCTTTTCTAATAAAGACTGGAATTCAGTTTTTTGCTGTACTAATGTATCTTGATATGATTTTTGTATATCTGCTATCTGTTGAGAAGTTGAAATAGGTAAAGGGTCATATATTTCTCGAGATGCTCATTGATATACTAGCGGATCAGGTATTCTATCTCTTTTATGTCTAGCAATTCATCGTAACTCTATCTCATAAAGCTTTTTAGCTAATTCATCTAATAGCAAATGTTTACCGATATCCTTAGCTTTTTCAAGCCATGGAATAGGAAGGGCATCTAAGAACTTATTATGTAATTCTTCGGGCCTATAGTTAGCTCGTCTACCTATTCATAACAATTTTCTATATAATTCATCTATAGTCATATTTCCTTTTCTAATTGTTCTATATTATAAATCCCGAAGCTCCTCTTCAACTATAGGAAAATGTGTTTTTAGCTACCATATGGCTTGATCAAAATGAATGCTAGCTACAACTACTGTAGTACTATTATTAGCATTTGGTGCATTAACAGCATTGTTAGTAGGATGACTACCTGCTATGCGCCAATCTTCATCCCAAGGACCCTCTATAGCTTTTAATTTGACTATTGCATTACCAGGTTGGCTGAGTGCCTCATTCAATGCTTGATTTCCTATTTGAAGTGCTGTTCTCCTGTTTACAGCTACTAAGTTGGTCTGCCCTATATTATCAAATAAATTTGCTAATTCCCAATTCTGTTTTGTAGTAATCTCTTCGTCAAACTATTCTAAAGCTCTTCCTTTCATACATCCTCTTAAATATCCTATAGCTACTTCTCTTCCCGTTGTTAAACCTCCCGTATTGTCTGCTAGATCTACACCTTGGTTTTGCAAGTATAATCTAAGTTTTGCAAAGAAATCTGGTATATCTTTACCCCAATCAAAAAATGGTTGTGGTATTTCTGCTATTCTTATTCGTTGTATATTAGGTGGATTATTCTGTAGCGCAAAAATTTGTTGATTTAAAATTAAATTATTTTGGCGCTCTGTATGAGTTTTATTTTTCTATTTCTCATATCGCTCATAAAGCCTATCTTGATTATACTCTAATAAACCCTTATCTCCTC